GGCGAGGCCAGGAGCGGGCAGCCCCCAGCACCTGTGCCAACAGCAGCACACCCCAGCTCTCCGCTTGGCATCCAGGGCCGGCTCTCTGCCCAAACAACCGAGGTCCTGGCAGCAGGGTGGGGCCCTGTGGGGCCCCGCATCAGCTTTCTAGACCTGCTTAGCCGCCAGCCGAGTTCAAGGAGAATCCCAGGGATGCTGGCTGCCCTGCTGGGCTGTGGTTTACTCCATTATCAGGGATGGAACAAATACGATTAACCAATTTAGTAAGTAAATAAACAAAAATAAACAAGGAGTGTCTGGCCAAGGAGGACCCTCCTTTCCCATAGCTCAGCATTTCATTTGCCAGCACACACCGACAACGTCTCCCCAGGTAGGCCTTGCATCTCTATCAGTACCGTGGGCAAAGAAGGCAGCCTGCCCCGGCCGCAGGAAGGACTCACGTTTGGAGCCCGGCCTGGAAGGTCGGCCTCAGATCTCACATCAGGCCGCGCAGAAAGGCTGGTCTTTCGGCCGGGTTTCTGTTTTCTTCTGCCACTTAACATGCCACCTACACTGCTGACTTGCTCTCCATAACAAATCTTTCTTTAAGCATAAATCTGTACCTATTCACCCTTCTGCCCACTCGCTCCCCGGTTAATTGAACTTTTCCCTGTCGATACAGTGGCTTTTGCGCCTTATAGCGGGAGAGTATCAAAAGCATTCTGGTCAGCTAAAGAGGCAGAGAAAAGTGCCTGAGGGTCCTGAAACTCTATGCAAGGGCTGAATCTGACATAAATGGGGCTTTGTGGGGCCAGGTCATGGGGGTCATAAAATGTAATGCCAGGTAGCAGAGGTATAAACTTCATAAAAGATACAAACACGAAGATATTATTTTAAAATTTAAAATACAAATATGCTTAAAACTCTTGCGATTATTGGGTTTAGTTAACAGTGTTTGATAACTGACACCTCCCAAACCTCCCCCCCTCCCAAAAAAGATGCCTGCCTAAAATGGAAAGGTTGGGGAATAGCAGGGTTTGGCAATGCAATTTTTAAAATAAAACATCAAGAAAAAGCACAAGGATCACAGCAGAAACTAAAAATATAACATGCTCTGAGCATAGGAACATAAAATGGCTGGGCACAGGCCTCCCCCCCCCCCCCCCGCAAGGTGTACTCAGAGTGGCAAATGACTCTCCTGTATAATGTCCCCCTTTGGTTGTGGGTTCCCAGGTTAGAGTACTTACTCAGGCACCCATTCTCTGGTCCATTCAGCACAGACAAGCTGGCTCAAAACATCATCCCTGTATTTGTAAGGAGACAACTCCATCAAGCAACAGCTGCAACTATACAAACACTGGAAAGTGAAACTTCTTGAGCTCCACTCCCTTGAAATACATTGCAGAACAAAGTTGCAAAGAAAATGTGGAATGGATTTCCCATTAAGGTCTCTGGGCCCAGATAGACTATTCTGGGACTGCAATGACAGCCACCAGCGTGAAATGACAGTCCCTGGGAGTAGCAGAAGCATTCTGGGATTGGAATGAGGGCCCCAGAGTGGAACTACGTTCCCAGAATGCTGCTGCTGCTACTCACTGGGGCTGTCATTCCACTCTGCGCCCTGTCATTCCAGTCCCCAAACACAGATTCTATTCCTAGGGAGTGTCATTCTACTCTGGGGGCTGTCATTCCAGTCCCAGAGCACTGTTTCTATTGTGGGAAACAACACGAGAGTAGTTGATCTGGGTGCAGAGACCTTAACGGAAAAATCCGTTCTGTATTTTCTTTGTAATTTTGCAAGCCCAGAATGGCTTCCTGCGGAAGCAGGCCAAGACAAGACAGAGGGAGCTGGGAACTTTAGGGGCCTCAAGCGTCAAAGGGTGAGGACAAGAGCCAGGGGCCTTATTGACGCCCCCGCTCTAGTGGATGGCAGCAGATGACCTCTTTAGCCCTCGGCTAGGTCGGGGAGGCAGCCCAAGTGGGAGTGCAGGGATTTGGGTGGGGAAACACTCTGCACAGCCACGCATCCTACTCCAATGACCAGGCAATGGGGCTAGGCCCTGGCCAGCCGAACAACACTGCAGAGTGTTCCAGGCACTGGACCTCACGGTGAGGGAAGCTGGCTTGCCGGCATTTATTGGAATTAACTGCGCATGTGTTGGGCTGCCTTCTGTCCGTGAGTTTTGACTTGAGAGACGCCTTTGTATTACTGTTGTGTTAAGGTTGTACGTGTCCTCTTTTTGTTCACGTTTTTAGAACTGAGAGCAAGGTCTTGGTGAAGAAGCTTTCCTGTATTCCCGGAAGTTTATTATTTGTCCTACACACTGCCCAGGAAGCTCCAAGGCCCTGCATTTCATCTTCAACCATCCAGGGAGCTTCATGGCTGAGTGCAAATTCGCACCCAGGCTCTTCTGCCCTGGCCATGTACATGTGGTGCTTGGGAAGGCCTCGTGCCCCAGGCAAGGTGGCCTAACTGCCTGCCATCCCACCACTCCCAGAGGTTGCATCCTGTTGCAGTCAACACAGGCTGACTCCTCCTGGCCCCACTGCGTGGCTTCCTGCAACCCTTGTGAGGACTCAGAATGGAGAAAGCTGGTTTCTCGCTGTGAGGAATGAGACAGCAGAAACAGCCTTGGAATCAACAAAATGGGAAGAGCCCTGCTGGATCAGACAGCCGCCAGCCATTTCCTCTGGAGGGCCAGCAACAGGGCAAAGAGGCCAAGACCTTCCCCTGATGTTGCCTCCTGTCTCTGGGATTCAGAGGTTAACTGCCTCTGAATGTGGAGGTTCCCCTCAGCCACCATGGCTAGTAGCCACTGATGGACCTCTCCTCCATGAAACTATCTTATCCCCCTTTTAAGGCTGTTTATTCCTGTGGCCGTCCCTAAATCTTCTGGCAGCAAATTCCAGGTTTTATCACTCTCTACGTAAAACAGTATTTCCTTTTGTCCATCCTGAGCCTACTGCCCACCAGCTTCATTGGATGCCCTGGAGTGCTGCTGGTCTTTTGGGAGAGGGAGAAAAAATCATCTCCGTCCACTCTCTCCACCCCATGCATCATTTTGCAAACCTCCATCATGCCTCCCTCCCCTCAGTCGTCCGAAGAGCCCCAGGGACTCCTCCTCGGCCTTTCCTCATCATCGGGAGGGTGCTCCAACCCCCCCCCAATCCTCGTGGCTGCCCTCCTCTGCCCTTTCCCCCAGCCCTGCGATGCCCTTTTGGAGAGACGGGGACCGGAGCGGCATGCAGGGTTCCAAACGAGGCTGCCCCATAGAGCCATACGCAGGGGGGCATGGCCGTATCGGCCGTTCTCTTCTCCACCCCTTTCCTCATAGCCCCCAGCAGAGTTTGCCCCTTTCGCCGCTGCGGCACGCACACACACACACGGGGGGGGGGTCGACACTTCCATCCAGCTCTCTCCACCACTAGGACCCCAAGACCTTCCCCCCCCCCAGGCTCAGCGGGTTCAGGCCCCCACGAGCCTCTACGTGAAGTTGGGATTCTCTGTCCCAGTTGGCCTCGCCTCACGCCTGCCAGCGCTGAACTTCATTTGCCACGTTGTCACCCCCTCACCCCATTTGGGGAGGCCCTCTTGGGGCTTGTTATGGCCCCAGGCCTAGAGCAGTGTGGCCTAGTGGCTCCAGGGAAGCCTGCACTAGAGTGGCCATCACAGGGCCTACACTCCCCTTCTCCCCCCCCCCCATCGTGTTGGACCCTGTGATTGGTCAACAGGGGACTCGGAGGGAAAACCTGCCCCAGTAGAGGAGCAGGGGGGGTGCCTGGGGAGAAGTGGGAGGGGGGCCCCCACTCCCGGGGGGGCCGGGCCGGGTGGGGGTGTGAGTCAGCGGGAGGCCACAGGCAGGCGGGCGCCCCCATGGAGGAGAGGGGTGGCCGCCTGTGGAGAGCCTCCCTCCGTCAGAGTTCAGAGCCCCGCCAGCCTTGGCTTCCCCCCTCCTGAACTGTCTGGGGTCATCCGCAAACTTGGCCAGTTCCCCCCCCCCACTTCACCCCTTCTCCAGATAAATGATGAATAAACTAAACAGCACCGGCCCCAATGCCGATCCTTGTGGGGCCCCCCACTGCTTCCTTCCTTCCCTCCACTGTGAGAACTGTCCATCAAGTCCCACTCTTTGCTTCCTGTCATTTAACTGATTTTTAACCCAGTTAAGAGGACCCGTCCTCTTATCCAGGACCGCCGAGTCTTTGGTGAGGCACCTTGTCAAAAGCCTTCTGAAAGTCCAGGTACAGAAGGTCTACTGGGGGGGGGTGGTGTCACTGCTGCCTACTTGGCTTGGTTCACTTCCTCAGAGAACTCCAGGTGGTTGGCCAGGCAGGCCTTCCCTCTGCACAGTCCTCTCATCTCAAAGGCAGGGCCCATTGGAAGGAGAGGGTTGTCTGGCAGGTGCTTCCCATAGATCACTGCGTTGGCTACATGGCATCAGAAGAGCCGTCCCACTGGAAAGAGAGTCTAGCCAGCCAGCCCCCTGGCTCCTTGGGAAATGCAAACATCCTGGGCGTCGTTTGGATTTGCATTTCTGAGCAGAAGTGTGCACATTTTTCAATTACACGGAACTCTTCATCAGCCTTGAATGGAAAGATACATTCAGTCCCCAACGGGCATTTGTGTTAATTGGCTTTGCAAAGAGAGTCTGCTTGTAAGGTGGGATGGATGGGAGCTCGGATGGGAGCAGAGCACAGCTGAAGGGAGGTAACTCTGGCGACTCAGAGAGACACACACGAGAGAGGGTGCCCCCTCTGGGCAACAGGCCTTGCCTTCCCTTATGGCGCAAGACATAGGCGCAAACGGAAAGCAGGCGTTGCTAGCTGCCCCCCCCCCCGAGTCTAACAGGTGCTGCCCTTTGCCACCCCCCCCCGGCTCTGCCCCCTGCTCCAATCAGGTGCCAGAAGAGTTGGGGTGGAGAGCCGGCAATGCCAAGAGCAACTGGCCATGGGGAGCTGCACAGGCTCAGCCCTCCCAGACGTTTCCTTTCTCTCCCCCTCCCCCCAGGCTCCCAGCTGCCATGCTGAAGATAAATCGGTTGAAAGTGCTTGTGATCCTGGCCCTGCCAGCAACAGCTCTCATCTGCTTCTCTCAGCTCCACACTTGTGAGAGTCCCCGGAAGGAGGAGCCGGCCCAGACGCACATCCTCATCCTCTCCTCTTGGCGGTCAGGGTCTTCCTTTGTGGGCCAGATCTTCAGCCAGCATCCGGACGTCTTCTACCTGATGGAGCCAGCCTGGCATGTGTGGGTCACCATGCACCAGAGTAGCGCCAAGGCGCTGCAGATGGCGGTGCGAGACCTCGTCCGGTCTGTCTTCAAGTGCGACATGTCCGTCTTTGATGCTTACATGTCTGAGCAGAGGAACCAGAGGGCGCTCTTCCAGTGGGAGGCCAGCCGGGCCCTGTGCTCCCCCCCGGCGTGCCACCTTTTCCAGCGCAGCGACATCATCTCCAAACAGGCCTGCAAGACCCTCTGTGGCAAGTACCCTTTCCGCAAGGTAGCACAGGCCTGCAAGACCTACAGCCACGTGGTGCTGAAGGAGGTCCGGCTCTTTAACCTCAAAGCACTCAACTCCCTCTTTGCCGACCCTTCCTTGAACCTCAAGATCATTCACTTGGTCCGGGACCCCAGGGCTGTCTTCCGCTCCCGCGAGCACACGGCAGGCGACCTGGCCCAGGACAGCGGCATTGTGGTGGGGCACAGGAGTGAGCTGAGGAAAACGGAGCCTTATGCTGTGATGCGGGAGATTTGCAAAAGTCACCTTGAGATGTACACCCAGGGCAGCTGTGCCCTTCCAAGCCACCTCCAGGGCCGCTACCTCTTGGTGCGCTATGAAGACATTGTCCGGGACCCCCTAGCCCTGGTTGTCCAGCTGTACAGGTTCGCAGGGCTCCATTTAATTCCCCGCCTCCAGTCCTGGGTGCACAACATCACCCACGGGCACGGTCTTGGCACAGAGGCCTTTGATGTTGGGTCCCGGGATGCAGTGAATGTGTCCCAGGCCTGGAGGAAGACCCTTCCTTATCCCAAAGTGGCAAAGCTGCAGGAGGCATGTGAGGATGCCATGGGGGTACTGGGCTACAGGCTGGTAAGGTCGGAGGCAGAACAGACAAACATGTCACTGAGCCTCTTACATCCTCAGAAGTCCCTTGCCCAGCCGGGAAAAGGGTCACCTCCAGCTTCAGGTTCCTGGAGCTTCCAGAAGCAGGACCTGCCATGCCAGGCAAGAACCACATAGTCAGTGCAGAGCCTGCTCGCAGGTGGCATCTGCCGTCCTGAAAATATTGTGGGAGACGGACCAGCTTTAGGATCCCATCAGAATCTTTTTGTATTAACAAAGTCCTTGGCTGACTGTCTGTTTGGCAAACAAGGTGGACTGATTGGCTTACTTTGCATCTCACCTACAGATCAAACAAGGACATTTAATAAATATATTCTGTGTTTAATTCTTTGACACTTTTTAGCTGCCTTGGGCCCTTTCGAGGCGGGAAAACAGGATAAAAAGAACTTAAATATTAATAAAAATATTAATAAACTTGAGGCAAAGCTCCTTATCTATGAGTCAGGAAGGCTGTCGTTGCACGTGGCAGACAGTTCCCCTCAGATTGCCTGTATACGGTGAAGGATTCGGCTGCATCCATTAGCCAGACAGAAATCCTGCAACTTGACCAGCCAGTGGAAACCCCCAGGAACGTGACACTGGAGGATAACAACAGGAACCCCCTCCCCCGGCAACAAGTGAACTGCTCTCCCAGCTCACATAGAACCTCACACACGAGACAAGAGAGGGCACTGGGGGACCCCTTGAGCCTGGCTGTGCCCCTCCATGGCAGGATGGCTGCTGTGTTTGGTCACCCCAGCTTGAACACCATCCCTGTGGGCAAGCTGGGTCTTTAGTTCCCCGGAGTAACTGCATGATACTGCCAGAAAGTATGAGAGGCGTTTGGGCATGCAAGCATGCTGATCAGACTTGTTTTGAGGGATATCTCAAGGGGTTATGACGATGCAGGATATTACTGAGACCCACCTTTGCATTCATCAGGGCGACTGCGTGATAGAGGATGCTGGACTAAACCGACTAGGTAGCCTGGTCCAGCAGGATCGCTCTGATGTCCTAAATGAGGCTGCAAAGGTAGGATAAGAGTTGTCTTTCTCCAGAGATGCACTCTGCCCACCCCCCCGTAATACCTGAGGGGAACACGTGAGGATGGGGGCCGACAGAGCGCAGCGGGTGTGCCACCACTCCCAAGGAAGGCTCCCATGACACAGTGGCCCTCGCCAGGCTGTCTAATTCTCAACCATACAAGGACGCGGGTGAGGAGGCAGGGACTAGTCTGTCCCCGCCTTGGCTAAGGAAGTCCCCAAGAAAGCCCAGGGACCCCTTCACGCAAGGCCAGAGGACACAAACATTGCGCCAAAGAACGTACAACAGACATTCCTGGCACTTCCCCAACAGCTCATGAGGGAGAGGAAGCACTCAGGTAGGATACGGAATGGAAGTTTAAACCCCACCAAGGGGGTGGAGGTCGGAATAAAGCAGGTGTGCTCCATTAAGTGGGCTGAGTCAGGCCCTCTGCCACATGACACCACCAGGTCAAGGGGACGTGAATCCGGGTTTCTCCAGACCAGCACTCAATAGATAGGCAACACCAGCTTCCTAGGACAGAGCAGCATTCACGGGCAGGCATCCCATTCCTTGGCATAGAACAGTTCCCCCACCCCACTCTGGTCGCTCAAAGGGGTCCTTCCCCATAGATTGCACCCTCCCCTGCCATTTATATATCCTGGTGATTCAGATTCACATCACTCATTGGATGAAGCGAGCTCCATTTTACAGTTCAATAAATCTGCTAGTTTTGAGGATGCCACATGACCTTTTTTTGCATAAACTATCTAAGCAGATGAACTCTGCTTCTTTTCAAAGGAGGAGCTCTTGACCCTGCCTTAAGCTGCCTGTGCAGAAATGTTCATGTGCAAGAGCCCAGGGAAAGTAACCCTCTTTGGCAGTTGTTGCTGCCATTTATCTTGAGTGTCTCAGCCCTCTTTAATCCACCTACAATGAGCCGACCAGATCCAATAGTCAGAATCTCTAGATTAAGAGTTCATATTTCAAAAAAACTTGAAAAAGCTGTACAAGAAAATCCTCACCCCTAATGCCCAAGAAATCTCCCCCCCCCATGCGCCGTTCCATTGGGGGGGATGGGACAATGAGGACACTGGCATGGACCAGTACCTGTTCACTCATCATTTCTGTAGTTGTTCAGAGTTCTTTGTTTTTGTAAAGAATGGGTAGTTATCCTCACAAGAAATGACCTCCCCCACCAAGCGGTAAGAGGAAAGGAAGGCTTGCCCTCAGATGGTGCTGGTGGTCAAGGAAATGCTTGTGGACAGAACTGCGCTACTGAAGACGGAGGAACCCTCCTTTACAGTGTGCTATACAGGCAAGCATGACATTACGCCGGTGTCTGTAGCACTTAAGACAGCATATCTACATCAAGTCTCTATTATTCCTCCCCATTGCCAACTTTTTCTGCACTCGACTGCATCCTACAGTATCTGTCCTCTTACGCAGCTGTTCCAAATCAACTCTGGGGTGACGTTCAGTTCTATTTCTCACTTTCCCCATGTCCAGGCAGAGCTGCAACCTCACCCAATGAGTAGCTGAAGTCAGTAATGAACGGGGCAAAAGGGGATATAAAACAGATGATGCCGGAGGTGGGAGGCTCAATCACCGGTTTGGTTGGGAAATGGGGCCCCCCCCCCCCCCCCCCGGTACAGCGCTGCTCCTGAGTGGTCCGGCTACAACTGTAGACAAAAGCGCCGTCTTTGGTGCTGATAGACCAGCTACCCATCATGGTCTCTCTGCTGAGATTTTCTCAACGGACTTTTGGATCAGATTACCTCCATGGCCTTTATATGGGGACATGCTTGAAGAGAGACTAGGAACTTCCGTGGATTCAGAACATGTTTGCTGAGAGGTTTAACTGTTGTGCACACAGAATATCTGCTTTGTTCTCAAACACCTCTGCTGGCTGTCAGCCTTGCTTCCAAGTTACTTGTCCTGACCTCCAAAGCCTTAGACAGTCTGGGTCCTAACTGCCACGGGGACACCTTCTCCGTATGAGCCACTGCCTCTGTCCTCTAAGATCTGCCACCTAAGCCCTGACCGGGACACCTCCGATTGTGGATGCCAGGCTGTGGGCCAGCTGGGCTTCTTCCGCGGGGCAAGTGACGCCTAGACTTTCCCCCTTCATGCCTTCACAGACATGAGATATTCTGGCTACGACTTGTGGTTTTGCTGATGCTCTGCTTAGATGGCCCTGCTGCCGCCTTCTCAATTCATTTTTAGAACTGTGATTTCTCACTGGTTTTGACTGACAACCACCTTGGAGCAAGTCAAGGAGGCCTGTTACAGGTACCACTTTTCACTACTAGTAGTGATACTACGCCCATCAGTCTTTCAAGCTCCGGGGGTTGGGGGGGGGGGTGCAACCAGGGAGACACTTGCAGCCAGCCAGGGCTCTTTGGCCACAAGTAATACGTGTACCCACTGGAAACAGTTTCTACAACATGTGCGCTGAGTCTTCAGCGTCACCCCTACATCACTGATGATGGCCCACAACTACCTCCATAAAGGAGAAATGACACTCGGTGCATGTTAAATGGGTGTTGCTAAAGTGGGTATGATTAAGGCACCTGTGTCACCCTGCGATGTGTGGGGTCAAAAGGCTTCTGGGGGTCCTGCATCTCCACTAGTAAACTCACTTGGTTACAGTTTTTTGCCTATTCAAGAAAGATTCCAGGATCCCCACAAGATCTTTAGCTGGAGCACAAGATTCCAGGATCCCCACAAGATCTTTAGCCGGAGCACAACCAGGGCTGATAGCAGCCTTTCACAATCTGAGGGAAATGACTGATTCTGTCTCTGCACTCCAGGTTTCCCAGGTGCAGTCTGGGGGCTTCAACAGCTGCTGAAGCCCTGTATGATATTGCTGAAGAACGAGGGAGCACACGCAGCACTTCCCTCCCGCAGGCCAGACGAGAAGGTCTCCTGTAGGGAGCAAGAGCATCCAGTTCTTTGAGAAGAGGAAAGGGCTGTTTTGCTCTCCCAACGTTTAATATCACAGGCCTTTTCTCTGCACGTTCCCACTCCAACTGCAGATACTGCAAGAATGGGGAAAAATTTGTTTCTGGAAAGACCAAGAGGTAGATCAGTGCTGTAACACTGGCAGTGACGAGGGCCAAAGTTCTGAAAAGGTTTGAAGAGGGGAATATGAAAAGCTCTGGAAGACCAGCAAGCACAATTTTAACCCAAC